TGTGCCCACCTTGCCCTCACATCGTGAGCCTCCGTGTCATCAACTGCAAAATGGGGGTAATACCATTTCCCCATCGCTGCTCTAAGAGGGAGGACTGGTGTTCTTCCCATCTTACAGATGAGGAACCCAAAGCTCTGAATGCTCACACATAGGAAGAGGCAGCCTGGGCCCTGTGCTGCTGGCTGCCTGCCTCCCCAGCCGGGACAAATCCAAGCAGCCCCCCCAAGCCCCGCCATGACGTGGAGACGTGGTGTGGCCAGCACACATGCGTTCTGTGGGGCACCAGGGGCCCAGCTGCTCCCGAGGAGGTACAGTGAGATGTCAAGCGGGCAGAACCTGGAGGCAGATGCCTCGGGTTGAATCCCACGTCTATGGGATCTTGGGAAGTCACTTCACACGTGTTCCTCGCCTGTAAACGGACGACTCTCAGAGTAATGAAGCATTAGCCCCTGTGGTTAACAGAAGTACTTGGCCCCAAGTAAGTAGCACCCTGCCAAGGGAAATGGAAGGCGTCGAAAAGGAAGTTGTAGACAAGCCTTGTGGTGTGGATACAAAATAAAGAGGGGGAAATTGGAAAGTGATGGAAGTGATTTATGAACCAGGGATCTTCAGAAGATGTCACTGGAGACGAAGCAACCCACCAAGGCGGGAAAACCAAACCCTCAAACATGGTGCCTCTGACAAGGCAGAGTAGAAGGAGATAAAGCTGGGGTCACAGTCAAGGTTAGGACAGTGTTTTCAGTCCTGCAATACATTAAGGTAACCAAATATTTTTATTTTTTTCACAGGAAACTGAGGGTTCTTTATTCTCACTGTACTTTTTTTTTTTTTTTTTTTAATGAATGGGAGAGTATTGTTCCTCTCCTTTCATGAAAGAGAAACACTTCTCAGTTAACAAGTTGATAAGGAGCTGTAGAAATCCTTTGGTTTGGGGCGCCTGGGTGGCTCAGTCGTTAAGCGTCTGCCTTCGGCTCAGGTCATGATCCCCTGGTCCTGGGATCAAGCCCCGCATCGGGCTCCCTGCTCCGCGGGAAGCCTGCTTCTCCCTCTCCCACTCCCCCTGCTTGTGTTCCTGCTCTCACTCTCTCTCTCTGTCAAATAAGTAAATAAAATCTTAAAAAAAAAAAAAAAGAAATCCTTTGGTTTTATGTATTCAAGTAATATTCTGCCCTCAAAGCATCTGGAGTTGGGGTGAAGAGAACTTCTGGATTTTAGGTGCTGCTGGTGGGAATTAACCAACACAGCTGTAGTGAAGGACAACTTGGCAACACCTGGTAAACTTCACCCCAGTAATTCTGCTTTTAGAAATGTATGCTACACAAACCCTCATTCTAGTATGCAATGATTTATACAAAGTTGTGTAGTTGAGAGAATGTGGCTTTTGGAGCTAGACTGCCTGTAGCCCAGCTCTGCTCCTTACGAGTTGTGTGACCGTGGGCAAGTTACTTACTCTCCTCGTGCCTCGTTTTCTTCATCTGCACAACGGGTAGAATAATAGTATTTATTCCACGAGTGAGGTAGGCTGAATAAAGTCTGTTCACATGTCCACCTCTTAATCCTGGGACCCTGTGAAATATGTTACCTTACATGGTAAAAGGGACTTCACTGTTGTGATCAAGTCAAGGATCTTGGGCGCCTGGGTGGCCCAGATGGTTGAGCGTCTGCCTTCGGCTCAGGCCGTGGTCCTGGGGTCCTGGGATCGAGCCCCACATCAGGCTCCTGCTTGGCGGGGAATCTGCGTCTCTCTCTCTCTCTGTCTCTCTCTCTCTCTCTGTCTCTCATGAATAAATAAATAAAATCTTAAAAAAAAAAGTCAAGGATCTTGAGATGGGGAGGTTATCCTGGATTATCCACATGGGCCTGATGCTATAGGTGGATCTCAGTGAGTAGTACATGTGCCAGTGGGAGCAAGAGGACGGAGCGATGTGAGGGAGGGGTCGTGAGCAAAGGAATGCGGGCAGCCTTCTAGAAGCTGGAAAAGTCAGCCTCTCCCCTGCACTCCTTAGAAGGGAAATGGCCCTTGGGGTGCCTGGGTGGCTCAGTTGGTTAAGCATCTGCCTTCGGCTCAGGTCATGATGCCAGGGTCCTGGGATCGAGCCCCGCATCGGGCTCCCTGCTCAGCCTGCTTCTCCCTCTCCCACTCCCCCTGCTTGTGTTCCCTCTCTTGCTGTGTCTCTGTCAAATAAATAAACAAAATCAAAAAAAAAAAAAAGGGACACGGCTTTGCCAACACCTTCATCTTAGATTTCTGACATCCGGAAGTGTACAATAATAAAGGAGTGTAATTTTAAGCCACTGAATTTGTGGAAACTAATACAATAGGCACGTTATGAGGATTTGTGAGTTACTATAGGTAAATGCTTCAGTGCAGAGCGTGTAGCTGGTGTTCAGTAGATGTGGCTCAAGGGCTGCTTGTGATCTCCAAAATGAGTTGTAATCCACATGGCCCGCAGGAGTGGAGGGATTCAAAACTCCATGCAAAGCACAAAACCACGGCAACGGGGCGCCTGGGTGGCTCAATTGGTTGAGCAACTGCCTTCAGCTCAGGTCATGATCCTGGAGTCCCTGGATCGAGTCCCGCATCGGGCTCCCTGCTCGGCGGGGAGTCTGCTTCTCCTTCTGACCCTCCTCCCTCTCATTCTCTGTCTCAAATAAATAAATAAAATCTTAAAAAAAAAAAAAAAAACACAGCAACGGCTAATAAGGAAGAGGCTGTTCTATAGGTATTGGCGTGGAGACAGGATGGTGACAAGGACAGGGATGATGACAATGATGTCACTGCTGTTTTCTGAGTCCTCCCTGCCTGTCAGGCACTGAGCTAAGCGCTCCCCCTCCTTCCCAGCCTCATAAGGATATGTGGGATCTGTTTCAGTCTGAGAGAAACCACAGAGTAATTTGAATGGGAAAAGTCTAACATAAAGAATTATTAACCGTAACAGGGGACTGGAGTAACAAGGCATTAGCTAGTAAGAAGTAAAGAGGACTTCTTTTTTAAGATTTTTATTTATTTGACAGAGAGAGAGCACAAGCAGGGGAGCGGCAGGCAGAGGGAGAAGCAGGCTCCCCGCTGAGCAGGGAGCCCGATGCGGGGCTCGATCCCAGGACCCTGAGATCATGACCTAAGCCAAAGGCAGACACTTAACCGACTTAGCCACTGGAGCACCCCAGAAGTAAAGATGACTCTAAAGAATATCGGGAAAGTAGATATAAGGAGCAGCCCTCATCCCCAGGGCTGAGATAGATCACTTCCTCCCCCAGCGAGAAGGGCCCCCATTGAGCCCCGGGTGTGAGCTCCAGACCTGGTTGGAGACGGAACAGCTGTAGCTCCTTGGATGGTAGAGGCGATGCTGAAGTCCCGCGCAGGCCCCATGGAACTTGCTGGAAAGCCATGCTTTAGGGGGCTGGGGAAGAGGCACTCCACTGCTCCCAGGGTGGGCGTGGGGTGCTAAGGGGAAGCAGCTGATGGTGGGTGCTGCTGGCTACCTGTGAAGGAGCCTGTACCTGGGGCGCGAGCTGAGCCGAAGAAGCTGGGCCTGCGGCAGAAGCCAGATGAGAGAAGCGCATCACAGCCGGGAAGCAAAACTTCGGCCTCAAGAAATGGCTGTCAGCGCCCTCTACTGGCAAAGTTTCGCATTGTTCCACTTGGCAAAGGAAAATATTTAAAGGGCCCAGATGCATCGTTCACAGAGCAGACAAATATAATGAATTCGGAGCTGAGAGGCAATAAATAACTGGCACAGACCATTAGTTCCATGCCCACAAATAAGGAAATGGAGGCCCCAGAGAGGGGAAGCAGCACAAGCAGTCCGAGGATTTGCTTTGCTCTACAAAGTGTTTAGAAAGCGGGTTGCAAAATCCGTGCTACATCATTGTGGTAATAACTCCACTGACCACGAACATGCACAGACATACTCTCCAGCCTGGAGAAATACACACACCAAATGCCACTGGTTCCCTTCAGGGCATGCAGATTACAGGGAATTCTCCTTGCTATATTATTAGGTTGAACAGTATGAAATTGCTGTGTTTGTAGGTCAAAAAACAGTGAAGTACTGGAAATTTCATGCAACTCAACATAGTATTTTTAAAAGATTTTTATTTATTTATTTGACAGAGAGAGAGAGAGCACAAGCAGGGGGAACAGCAGAGGGAGAGGGAGAAGCAGGCTCCCCGCTGAGCAAGGAGTCCGATGAGGGGCTCGATCCCAGGACCCTGGGATCATGACCTGAGCTGAAGTTAGACGCTTAACCGACTGAGCCACCCAGACGCCCCTCAACATAGTATTTCTGTGATGTAATGTTTGAAGTTTTTATCAGTGTGAATTACTTTTTTTTTTTAAGATTTTATTTATTCATTTGAGACACAGAGATACAGAGAGAGAGAGCATGAGCAGGGAGAGAGGCAGAGGGAGAAGGAGAAGCAGGCTCCCCGCTGAGCCAGGAGCCCGATGTGGGGCTCGATCCCAGGACCCCGGAACCATGACCCGAGCCGAAGGCAGATGCCCAACCATCTGAGCCACCCAGGTGCCCCGAGTGTGAATTACTTTTATAAATAGGAAATTATATATGTATGTATGCATACACATATACTTTACACACACGTATATACATAATAAATGTATGAATTATGTACGTGCTTTGGAAAGTCCTTCCTCTGTCTTTTGCCTGCAGGTGGTATCTTTCCCTTCAATAAAATAGAAAATTTAAGCTTAGCTAAGAGGGACCCAAAGACTTCAGGAGAAAATATTTGTTGTTCAACCCACTGGGAGGTTTCAAGAGCTACTTGCTAATGGTCCAAGCTTTCTTTCTTTCTTTTTTTTTTTTAATTTGAGAGAGAGAGAGAGAGAAACAGCATGAGAGGGGAGAGGGTCAGAGGGAGAAGCAGGCTCCCTGCCGATCAGGGAGCCTGATGCGGGACTTGATCCTGGGACTCTGGGACCATGACCTGAGCCGAAGGCAATCGCTTAACCAACTGAGCCACCCAGGCACCCCAAGCTTTATTTCTTTTGTTTTTGTTTTTTTTTTTAAAGTAGGTCCCATGCCCAGCATGGAGCCCAATGCGGGGTTCAAACTCACAACCCTGAGATCAAGACCTGAGCTGAGACCAAGAGTCAGACGCTCAACTGACTGAGCCATCCAGGCGCCCTCATGCTTTATTTCTTGACAGCTTACCATATGGAGAACCTGTCATTTGTGATCTTTCTACTTATTTTATGATATTTAAGTCATGAAACAGAAAAGCTGCTGTTAAACAATGTTGGGTCTTATGTGACAGTTAACCACATTTCATTTTAGAAAGTATTTGAATTGAGCTTTGTCCTAAGTCTAAAATATTGAGAATTGGGGCACCTGGGTGCAAATTCTAAGGGTGCATTTAGGACTTCTCTTCTTGGGTCATTGAAGCTACCGAAGGCAGGTCTCTGCTTTGATCACGGTCGGATTGCTTTATTCCAATGTCTCAACACCCTCTAAAATGGTCTCCAAGCCATTCCCTCTTTTCACACATTTGAAACCTAAAAACACACGGTGCTCCATGCTTGTGCTCACTCTCTCTCTCTCAAATAAATAAGTAAAATCTACAATTAAAATAATTCAAATATTGAGAATTAAAGAAGACACTTCAATGTCTGCAAAACCATGAGAATAATTTTAAGGCAAAAGTTACTTTGCCTCGGGGCGCCTGGGTGGTTTAGTCAGTTGAGCGTCTGCCTTCAGCTCAGGTCATGATCCTGGGGTCCTGGGATCGAGCCCTGTATCTGTTCCCTTGCTCAGCGGGGAGCCTGCTTCTCCCTCTCCCTCTGCCGCTCCGCCTGCTTGTGCTCTCTCTGTCAAATAAATAAATAAAATATTTTTTTAAAAAAGTTACTTTGAGGGGCGCCTGGGTGGCTCAGTTGGTTAAGCGACTGCCTTCGGCTCAGGTCATGATCCTGGAGTCCCGGGATCGAGTCCCGCATCGGGCTCCCTGCTCGGCGGGGAGTCTGCTTCTCCCTCTGACCCTCCTCCCTCTCATGCTCTCTGTCTCTCATTCTCTCTGTCTCAAATAAATAAATAAAATCTTTAAAAAAAAAAAAGTTACTTTGCCTCCACATTACTTTGCCTGTAAAAAAAAGTTACATAGCCTTCCCCCAAAATGGTTATGTGGGGAGGGAGGTGTTTTTCTTTTGGCAAACATGATACCCAAAAAAGAAGCTTCTCATGGTTCTTCCCTGTTGTCGTAAGCAGAATAATGACCTCACCCCACCCCCAAATGTCCATATCCTAATCCACAAAACCTGTGAATATTACATGAAAAAGGGGGAACTAAGGTTAGAGATAGAATTAAGTTTACTAATCAGCTAAGCTTAAAATAGATTATCCTAGATTATCCATGTGGGCCCAGTATAATTACAAGAGTCCTCGAAAGGGAAAGAGACCAAAGAGCAGAATATAATTCTTCTCAAATACACATGGAATGGTGTTCAGGATGAACCACATGCCAAGCCAAAAAATAAGCCTCAATAAATTTAAAAGTATAGAAATAATAGAAAGTGTGTTCTCTGAACACAGTTGAATGAAATTAGAAATCAATTATAGTGAGAAACTTGGGAAATGAATTTGTGGAAATTAAAAACAACACACTCTTAAATAACCATATTTCAAAGTCAAGGAAAAAATAAAAAAGGAAATCAGAAAATATTTTGAGATGAATGAAAATGAAGACATAGCATACCAAAGCTTATGGGATGCAACCAAAGCAGTGCCTAGAAGGAAATTTGTTGCTGTAAATGCCTATATTAAAAAGAAGAAGGAGCTCAAATCAATAACCTAAACTTTCACTTTAAAATACTGGAAAAAAGAAGAGAAAACTAAACCTGAAGTATGTGGAATGAAGGAAATGATAAAGATGAGAGTAGAAATAAATGAAACAGAGACTAAGAGGGGCGCCTGGGTGGCTCAGTCGTTAAGTATCTGCCTTCGGCTCAGGTCGTGATCCCGGGGTCCTGGGATTGAGCCCCACGTCGGGCTCCCTGTTCCGCGAGAAGCCTGCTTCTCCCTCTCCCACTCCCCTGCTTGTGTTCCCTCTATCGCTGTGTCTCTCCGTCAAATAAATAAATAAAATCTTGGGGCACCTGGGTGGCTCAGTTGGTTAAGTGACTGCCTTCGGCTCAGGTCATGATCCTGGAGTCCCGGGATCGAGTCCCGCATCGGGCTCCCTGCTCAGCAGGGAGTCTGCTTCTCCCTCTGACCCTCTTCCCTCTCGTGTTCTCTATCCCTCATTCTCTCTCTCTCAAATAAATAAATAAAATCTTAAATAAATAAAATCTTAAAAAAACTATAAACTTTCACAAGAAAACTATAAACTAAAACCTCTTATGAATATGGATGCAAAAATCCCCAAATCAGTAAGCCAAATCTAGCAACATATAAAAAGAATTATATATATAGAACATATAAAAAGGATTTATCTTAAGAATGCAAAGTTGGTTTAACATCTGATAATTAATGTAATATATAATATCAATACATTGTATTAATGTAATACATTATATTAATAAAATAAACACATGATTATCTCAATAAATGCAAAAAAAGCATTTGACAAAATCCAATACACTTTTATAATAAAAACTCTCAAAATACAGGAATAGAATGCAACTTCCCCTGATGAGGGCATCTATGAAAAACCCACAGCTAATATTACACTTAATGGTGAAAGATTGAATACTTTCTTTGTAAGGTCAGGAACAAGACAAGGATGTCCACTTCACTACCTTCATTCAACATTGTACTGGAGGTTCAGATCAGGGAAATTAGCAAGAAGAAATAAAAAGCATCTATATTGGAAAGGAAGAAGAAAACTCTATTTGCAGAAGACGTGATCTTGTATATAGAAAACCTAAGGAATTCACACAAAAGCTATTAGAATTAATAAAGGCATCTACCAAGCTTGCAAGATACAAGATAAATATTTTAAAAATCGTATTTCTATAAACTAACAATAAACAATCTGAAAAGGAAATCAAGAAAACAATTCCATTTACAATAGCATCAAAAGAATAAAATATAAAGGGGCACCTGGGTGGCTCAGTCGGTTAAACGTCTGCCTTTGGCTCAGGTCATGATCCCAGGGTCCGGGGATCGAGCCCCACGTCTAGCTCCCTGCTCAGCGGAGGGCCTGCTTCTCCCTCTCCCTCTGCTGCGCCCCCTGCTTATGCTCTCCTGTTCTCTCTCTGTCAAATAAATAAATAATATTTGAGGATAGATTTGAGAAAAGAAGCACAAAATTTATACTCTGAAAACTACCAAAACATTGTTGAGTGACACTGAAGAATATCTGAGTCAATGGGAACGTCCCACACTGATGGATCGAAAACCTAATATTATTAAGACGGCAATATTCCCCCAAATGTATTTACAGATCAACACAATCCTTATCAGAATTCCAGCCAGGAAAAAAAAAAAATTCCAGCCAGCTTCTTTGTATAAATTGACAAGCTGGTTTTTAAATTCACATGGAAGAGGACACCTGGGTGGCTCAGTCAGTTAAGCATTTGCCTTTGGCTCAGGTCATGATCCCGGGGTCCTGGGATAGAGTCCTGCATGGGCTCCCTGCTCAGGGGAGAGTCTGCTTCTCCCTCTGTCCCTTCCCCTCTTCATGCTTTCTCAAATAAATAAATAAAATCTTTTTAAAAAATAAATTCAGGGGCACGTGGGTGGCTCAGTCGTTAAGCCTCTGCCTTCGGCGCAAGTCATGGTCCCAGGGTCCTGGGATCGAGCCCCACATCGGGCTTCCTGCTCAGTGGGGAGCCTGCTTCTCCCTCTCCCTCTCCCTCTGCTTGTGTTCCTTCTCTCACTGTCTCTCTGTCAAATAAATAAAAATTTAAAAAAAGAAAAAAGAAACATCCATCAGGCTGCAGCCCGGGAAAAGACTAGAAGGAATAACAGAATCTTCTAGAGCACAGTCAGGAAGGATTGTGGAGGTCCAGTGCGGGGAGCGTGGGCAGTGCAGAAGCTGTGTGGGGGGTGGAGAGACGGCAATGAAAACAGAGGGCAAAATAGGTGTTTCTCACATAGGCTCCGAGTATCGACCCCTCAGAAACTCTCGCTGGAAGGATTTTCAGATGTGCCTTACCAGGAAGGGCCTTGAGCCCAGAAGGAAGGAACAGGATTCAAGAAAGCCATGGTGAGCAGAGAAAGGGACCAGAGTGGGTCAGGCAGAAAGGACAGTGATTAGCACTCACATCGGGACATGGGAAAACAAGGTGGCCCTGGGTCTTCAGCAGTAGCAGACAGGGATGTGCTGAGGTTCTTGTGCTCGGGCCGAGGGTACAGAGCCCTCAGGTAGCTGTGTTTTTCAGTGCCCTGCTTCCACATGCAAGGGGATATCAAAGATTAGAAACAGTGCGAGTTTCAAAGCAGTGGAAAGAGAGACAAAGGAATCAAGAGAAGGTGAAGGTAGGGGAGGCTGGGGAAAGGAGGCAGGGCGGGGAGCTGGAGGGATCTACACCTCAGTGGGGGCGTGGAGCAGCTCGGGACAGAGGACCATCTGGAGTTGAGGGTGTGACCCCACAGACAATCGCCTTCTGGGCTCATGCTGTGCCCCTCCCTTGGGGTGATCTGTCCCTGCGTGTGTGAGCCCCAACATTTCACGAAGACCTAACTCAGATGCTTTCTCCTCCAGCAAGCCTACCCTCCTTCCAGCCCACGAGGCCCTTGTCCTGACTCCTGGGCACCCAGCATTCCTAAGTGCAAGTCAGGGCAGATGGCATGGGCCCATGTCTGCTCTGTCACCGGCCTGGGCCCCAGAGAGTGTGTATGTGTGTATGCCGGGGTACCTGGCTGCAGATCTCAGCTACTGACTAGTAGTAATCTGTGTGTTACTGTTACGAGCGAAGGAGCCGGCTAGTGTGGGATGTGACCGTCTGGTGGGGTAACCGGTGCTAAGGCAGGGCTTGGATGGGAAACCGGAACACAGGCCTCCGGGAGGCTCAGGGAACACGCAGGAGGATGAGAGACGAGGGCAGCTTTAGCGAGGGCAGAGGGCAGTCCGGTAAGGCTTCATCACTGCGGGAGCTCTGAGCTAGACCTGGAAGGAGTGGGATTTATACACGGAGATGAGCAGGGCAGAGAATATTCCAGAAAGGGGGGAAGGCATGAGGGAAGGCCAGAGATGGGACAGTGAGGGGCTGTGTGTGGGGAGAAAGCGGTTCTTTTAGGGGGAAGGAAGGAGCTGCGGGTCAAGCAGGGATGTGGGTGTCAGAGGCTGGATGGAGGCAGGTGAGGAGGGCACAGAAGAATCTGGATGGGAACCCTGCCGGGGTCAGTGACAGTGGACGAGCAGGGAGCAGAGGAGGGTCTCGGTAGTCCGGTGGGTCTGGAAGACACCCTGGCAGCCATAGCCTAGGGAAGATGACAGGGAGGGCAGCCTGGTGGCAGCACCCACAGTGAGCAGGGCAGGAGACCGACCGGGGAGGCGAGTGAGAGAGAGGAGGCGGGATGGGCCCGCGGGAGCCGTGATGAGATGCCAGGGGGAGAAATGGAGCAGGCGGAGGGCACCTGGCGCGGGGAGGAGGGCACCCACGAGGAGGTGTCCAGCCCCGAGCTGAAATGCGGGTTTGAGACTCTCCAAGGGGGACACATCACCTGTCAAAGCTTCCGGCGGTGGGAGAGAGTGAGGTCCGACGGTCCTGCCTGTGCCCACCTCCCAAGGCTCCATTCCGAGCCCGGGGGCCGGTGACCATGGAACAGTCTCTGTCATCTGGTCGTCCCTCAGGGTGCCAGCTCCTCGAGGGCACAGACCTTGACGGCTGGTTCATCTCAGGATCTCCAGGCCCAGGACGGTGCCTCGCTCGCGCTCGGTCAGTATTGGCTGAATGAGTGAATAAATAAATAAATGCACGAAGCTACCTTCAAGAGGCAGGAGGAAGAGGACGCAGCGCCTACTGAACTGCACGGAGAAGCCAAAAAGCTCTGCCGGGCCCTCGGCCCGCGGTCCTCAAGTGTCCCACCCCCTCTGACGTCACCGTCGGGAGGGTCCCTGGTAGCTGGCCCATCCCCCCAAGGCCTATTTCTGAGCTCCCGCCCCTCCCCTCTCATCCCTCGGACACCCCCTGGGCCTCTCAGACGCAACCGTCCAGCAACACTCGCCTCCTTGTCTTCACCTGCCCCAGAACCTCCCCGCCTGCCTGGCTCTGTCCCTCTCACGGCCGGCACCTCTGTGCCCTACACGCCTGAAGCCAGAAACCAGGGGCCTTCCTCAAAGCCACGGTCTCCCTCAGTCCCAGACTAAGTGTCTCACTCCCTCAACGCCCTGGTCCCCAGACCTCCAGTCTTTCCTCACTGACATCGCGGCCAGAGTCGTGTTCCACCATCTGCTCTCCAGGGCAAAACCCGAACTTCTCTGGGGTTCCAGGGCCTTAACCGCCAGCCACTCCAGCTTCTCCTTCTCCCCTGCTTCCAGCCTCCCCCCCGCCCCCGGCCCCAGCCACCCTGGGTTCCAGTGCCCTGCATTTTCCTACCTTTGAGCTGCCCACGTTCTTCTCTCCAGATGAAGGTCACTCTTCTCTTGTCCATCCTACAAACTCCTATTCATTCTCTGCGGCTCCAGCCACATGCCCCTGCCTCTCTCCAGCCCTCCCTGAACCCTTGGGGATGAGGGCACTGCGTCTGTGTCCCCCCCACCCCCGCCCGGTGTGCACTGGATATGGGATATACCTAGCCTGATCGTTGTGACCGCATCCTGGCTAAGATATTATTATAGCCATTTGACAGGAGAATAAAACAAGGCTTAAAGGGGGTAAATAACTTTCCCAGGTGCACGCAGCCAGTGGGTGCAGGAATTGGGACTGGAGCTGGAGTTCCACACTGCTGTATGGAGGCGTACGATCATCGTTTCGTTAAATCGCTCTGCGTCAAGACTTGGAGCTGCTGGAGAGGGTCCATTATTTTCCTGTGCATCTTCACCATCTTCCTAGTGTTTGGGCAGAACACAGCAAGGTGTTCAAAAGGTGTTTTTCCTTGTATGTGCATATCCTTTCTTTGACAGCTTTACTGGTGTACAACAAAGTATCTGAAGTGTCTAATTCGATGAGTTTTGACATCAGTGCACATCTATGAAACCAACACCGAAATCAAGCCAACGTCACCCAAAAGCTTTCCTTGTGGGGCACCTGGGTGGCTCAGTCGTTAAGCGTCTGCCTTCGGCTCAGATCATGATCCCAGGGTCCTGGAATCGAGTCCCAGTGGGGAGTCTGCTTCTCCCTCTCCCACTCCCCCTACTTGTGTTCCTGCTCTCACTCTGTCTCTCTCTGTCAAATAAATAAATAAAATCTTTTTAAAAAGTTTTCCTTGTGCCCCTTGGCGACTTCTAATCTGCTGTTATTTCAGGTTAGTTTTCATTTTTTTGAGAATTTTAAATAAATGGAGCCAGACTGCATGTACTTTTTATTTTTTAGATTTTATTTATTTGTTTGTTTGTTTAGAGAGCACAAGTGTGGGGAGGAGCAGAGGGAGAGGGAGAGAATCCCAAGCAGACTTCATCCTGAGTGTGCGGACCCTGACGCCGGGCTCGATCCCACCACCTCAAGACCCGAGACAAAATCAAGAGTCGGACACCCAACCGACTGAGCCATCCAGGTGCCCCCGGACTGTATGTACTTTTTAAAAACTGGCTTTTCGGGGTGCCTGGGTGGGTCAGTCAGTTGAGCATCTGCCTTCAGCTCAGGTCGTGATCCCACAATTCCGGGCTCCAGCCCCACATCAGGCTCCCTGCTCTGTGGAGAGCCTGCTTTTCCCTCTGCCTCTCACCCAGCTCATGCTTGCTCACTCTCTCAAATAAATAAATAAAATCTTAAAAAAAAAAAAAAAAAACCTGGCTTTTCTCTCTCAACAGAGTTATTTTGAAATTCTTTCATGTTACTGTGTATATAAATGGTTTAAGTAAGATTTAAGACTTCTACTCTTTGAAGACTGTTAGAAAAAATGAAAAGGCAAAGCACATAGTGGGAAAAATATATTCAAAACATACATAGACAAAGGACTTGTATCTAGTATATGTAAAAGCTCTTACAACTCAACAATAAAAAAGATAAACATCCCAATAACTACATTGGCAAAAAAAAAAAAAAAAAAACGGAATAAACACAACCAAAAAAGATATATAAATGGCAAGTAAGCACATGAAAAGATGTCATTAGAAAAATGCAATTTAGGCCGCCTAGGTGGCTCAGTCATTAAGCGTCTGCCTTCGGCTCAGGTCATGATCCCAGGGTCCTGGGATCGAGCCCCGCATTGGGCTCCCTGCTCAGCGGGGAGCCTGCTTCTCCCTCTCCCACTCCCCCTGCTTGTGTTCCTGCTCTCGCTATCTCTCTCTCTGTCAAATAAATAAATAAAATCTTTAAAAAAAATGCAATTTAGGGGCACTCAGTCGGTTGGGCATCTGCCTTCGGCTCAGGTCATGATCCCAGGGTTCTGGGATCGAGCCCCAAGTTGGGCTCTCTTTGCAGCAGGGGTCTGCTTTTCCCTCTCCCTCTGCCTCTCTCCCTGGCTTGTACTCAATCTCTCTCAAATGAATAAAATCTTTAAAAAAAGAAAAAAAGAAAAATGCAATTTTGAGAGAGAGAGAGAGCTAGTGCCCGTGAGCACAAGGCAGGGGGACAGGCAGAGGGAGAGGGAGAGAGAGAATCTTAAGCAGACTCCACATCCAGCATGGAGCACAACCTGGGGCTCCATCGCACAACCCTGAGATCATGAGCTGAGCCGAAATCAAGAGTCGGTCACTTAACCGACTGCGCCACCCAGGCACCCCATAGAAAAATGCAATTTAAAAGTACAATTGAGGGGCGCCTGGGTGGCTCAGTCAGTTAAGCGTCTGCCTTCAGCTCAGGTCATGATCTCAGGGTCCTGGGATCGAGCCCTGTGTGGGGCTCCCTGCTGAGCAGGGAGTCTGCTTCTCCCTCTCCCTCTGCCCCTCCCCGCACTCCTTCTCTCTCTCCCTCTCTCTCTCAAATAAATAAATAAAATCTTAAAAAAAAAAAAAAATGTATACACCTATCATACAACATACCAAGAAAAAGGAAAGCATATGTCCACACAGACTTGTACACAAATGCTTATAGCTTTATTCCTACTTTCAAGAAAGTGGTAATAACTCAAATACCCATACAATGGAATACTACTCAGCAATAAAAATGTTTGTTGAACAAATACTCAAGGGCGTCACAAACTATTCCAAGGACAGTGCCTGCAATGCTGCATTCATTCACTAGATGGCAGCAAAAGCCCACTCATTTCCAGTTCCATTACTGTGTCTTCCTTATCACAGCAGGCAAGCAGATGGCATTAACCCCATTTAACTGGTGGGAAAACAAAGGCCTGGGGAGGGCAGGTGACACCCCAAGTTTGCCAACCTGCCAGAGCCAGGAGTCAGGATTTGACCTACATCTCCTAGACTTTCTGGGCTTCTGAATCGACAACCCAGAGAGACACTCCCACACCTTGGTCGGCACACCCTGTCCCCGCCCCCCACCTCGGGCCTACCCCCTCAAGTGCTCTGGCTGTCCTGTCACCGCTATACTGAAGTCAGAAATCTGCTGCCTGGGTCCTACCAACTAGCACAGGGCCTGGGAGGGAGGCCTGAGGGGAAGCTTGTGAGGCTGAGAAATGGGGGCTACCACTTGAATTCAGGTGTGTTTTAGCCACTACTAGGATTATCAGGATGAAATCCAAAACCACTGGTATGAGAGCCCTTTGTACAACTGGAGGGGTATATAAATATTGCCTGTGGTTTGTCTGTTATCATGACCCAGCCCCTCAACTTGGACATAATCTTTGTGGGAACTTCATGTTGGCCTCCTCTGTATTCCCTTTTTGTGCTCAGAGGGTAAGAAGTGGCTTCCAGGCTGCTTTTCTACCTTCCTGTCGCTGACTGTGTCTGGTCTTTGCATTTCCAATCCTGCTAATTTAAAACCTGCTCGGGGCACCTGGGTGGCTCAGTCCTTGGGGAGCAGGGGCACCTGGGTGGCTCAGTCCTTGGGCGTCTGCCTTGGGCTTAGGTCATGATCCCAGGGCCTGGAGTCCTGTCCCACTTCGGGCTCCCTGCTCGGCGGGAAGCCTGCTTCTCCCTCTCCCGCTCCCCCTGCTTGTGTCCCCTCTCTTGCTCTCTCTCAAATATATAAATAAAATATTTTAAATAATAAAAATAAAACCTGCTCAGCACCAGGAACGCTGTAACCCCTAGCAGATACATGCGAGGCCTTCCTCTCTTTACTACTTTGCTCTCCAATGAAGTCTTGTGCTTCCAGGGAGACTTTCAACTCTGGAAAAACACCAGACCTTTGTCCAAAAGACATTAAGACAGCAATTCAGAATAGGCACTTAATCAGGCTCAGGGGACCATGGCTCAGCCTCTCCCTATGCCCTGCCTATATTAGATCACAAGGAAGAAAGTCACTCTGCCTGCACAATGCTGCGTAGGTTGGGGGCTGCCTGCCGCTGACCTATCTGGACTATGGTTTCATGTCAGATGTTCATGTGCTGAAGAAACAGCAACAGAGTTGAAGTGTTGGGAGACTGACCAGGGATCAAATCCCAGCCCTGCTGCCTTGGCAAAGTGACCGAAAGCCTGCTTCTTGCTTCTCCAGTAACACATTCCTCGGAGTTTTGAGTACAGTAATGGAGTTCTGTTCACTGAGGCCCCTGCACTGGGCGAAGTGTGGCCATCGGGTGACCCAGGGTGAGAGGCCTCTGCTGGGTGCATCTTCTTTAGAACCTGGGCCCCCACCCCTCCTAGATCTAACTGGATGGAATGAGCCTCTCCCACCCCTTCAGGCAATAGGGTCAGTTGGGAGTAGAAGCAGGGACGCCTCAGGGACTTAGCAGCCAGGGTAGGACCGGAGAGTATTTCATCGGGGGCCAGTGTGTGCGCTATGCGCGTACAAATGCAGATTTCAACATTTTAGTTGCAAATGAGGATCACGTGCTATCCAGACCATTCCACAGAACAGGGGACCACAGGACCAGCTTGTTTTGGGAACTGGGAATGGATTAGAGGTGATCATCAGGAGTAACCTAAGACTTCACAGAGACCACCACACAGCTTGCTTTATTAGCACAAAGTGCCCCTAGGCCTGCAAGAGCTTTTTCACAGAAGCAATGTTCTCCTCCTCTGTCCCCCAGCTGTTTATACCCAGGTTAGGGCAAGTTACTGGGTCCTTTAGGTTGCTGATGCTGCACCACCTTCCAAGTCCCTCCCACTAACTGAAGATCTTGCTGTTATCATGGTAACCAGCATCAAGGTAACCAGCATCAAGGTGGAGAAACCCCCCAACAAAACACCCCATCATCTTCCATTAACTGCTCATGGACAGAAGTTTGGTTTATACACAAAAGAATCACACCAATGAAGAGCTTTTCAATTTTATTTTTATTAATATGAAATTTTAAGTTTTCTACAGAAAGGCTTCTCTAAACATTATAGATGCATGGGGACTACCTGAAAATGAGAGATTAGGTTCCCACATAAATATGGATTTAGGTTGCTGACAAATTCAACAAAGTTCTTTTCCACCTCCCCCAAACCCCAAAGCCCAGCTCCTGAAGAGAAGAAAATGGAAAGAGGCTGAAGACAATTTACAGTCAAGCAAAGACGCCGCAGGGATTTGAACCCTGTCCTGGAAACCAGGAGTGCCAACCACCAGCATCTTTTGCTTTTTTTTTTAAGCTAGCAAAAGGCCAAAAAGCAAAACCTGAGAAAACAAAACTTTTGTTTTCTCAGGAAAAGAAAAACCTTTACAACCCTACTGAAGAACACTGGAGAATCTGCTTCAGCTAAGATGCTAGCTTGGCCAAGTCTGTTATGTTCACCTGAAAAAGTCTTAGCAGAGAATTTTTGCAATCCCACCCCAACAGTCCTCGAGACTAAAATTTCCTATCTTCTTCAGTTTGTAAGGTGTATTTTCCCACCCAACATTACAGCCTCAAACGTTATTTCTCCATTCACTGGCTTAAGTGTGTTTTAATCATGGGATAAGGGTGTTACATATTTAAACATCATAGAGCTTTTAGTTGTGGTTTTAACATTATTAACCATTTGCAGGCAAATTAATGGCCTTTTCTAGTACTGCAACCCACCAGAAAGAAGACCTCAGCACCAGTTACCTTGAAACCGATTACGGATCATGCCCTCAAGGATCCAAGCTACTGGCAGCATCGAGGTGAGGGGTGAAGGGTCTGCGCTAGGCCAAAAGCAGGCAGTGGCGATGTGGCAGAGAAGTCACTTGTGGGGAGACCTTGCTTTTTAACAGGTTTCTGGAAAAGCTAGGGAAAAGTGGTTGCCCGCTTTCCCCATTTCCCTCCCCTTCAACCATCACTGGAGGTTTGGGCTTTTTGAAGAGCTGCTATAAAAGCAGCGTAATTAAAAATGCCAGGACAGGACAAGCCCAGGGATATAGAAGGTACTCAAAAACACTCCTTTAGATGCTCCATTCCCCGAAGAGAGCCTCAGTGCCAAGGGTGTTGAGGCAAGTCCTCATTTCTAGCAGAAGATGGGGTTATGAGGCCGACACCATTTTTATTGACCTTAGTATAATAGCGCTTTGTTGTCTCTCTTGCCACAGGAAGGCTCCGTGGTTGTCCTACTTTAAGCCTTCGGTGCCTTTAGGGAGGGGTACCTGAAAAATCTTAAAAAAAGGCTTAGCGCCCACCTCACCCCTCCACCCCCAGGCCAACAAACAGCTTGCTCACATGCTATTTATTCCAGCATAAAGCTGAAAAGTCTATTTAACACTAGATTATTCATAATGGATCTGACTTGGTATGTAAATATATAAAAAAGCTTGTTCACCTGTTGTCCTCATTTTGTCCACTGGTGAATTCAACTGGAAGCTCCTTCTATAGTCTGAAGAATACCATCTGAAAGAACTAGTGGTTCCCAATCCCCACATTTAAAATGGACTGTTTATTTAAAGTAAACAAGCTATTTTTTTCCTTACTGGTCTGGCTTCTCTGGCCCTTCGCATACGTCTGCTGTTTTGAATGTTCCTGCATATAAGAATTAAGACCAAGGGAGGGGAGAGAGAAACCCACACAAAGACAATGCACTAAGACCACTGAACTGGTAAACATTTCCACTTGCCAATTTCTTGAAGACTGTTGCTTGTTTGGAATTTATTTCTTGTCACTGATTTTAAGGTTGCATCTGGAAAAGACTAAAGGCTTCAGTGCCCCCCCCCACCCCCCTACGAGAAGTGAACAAAAAGCATTTTACCTAAAGAAGCACAGCAAAAGGTACTTGGCTTCAATCACAAACACGAATGCTTAAAGCTGCAGAAATTTCCTCAACACTCAGCCTTTATCACTCAGCTGGATTTTCCTTCAACAATCACTACTCCAAGCATTGGGGGAACACAACTTTTAATCATACTCCAGTCGTTTCACAATGCATTCTAATAGCAGCAGATCAGAACAGTACTGCATTACTTGCCAACAGAACAGACAGACCTGAGGTCAAGACAACTGCATTCTCTGTGTGGTCTGTAAAAAAAAAGCTAAAACAAGTAAGCCCCACCCCCTCCTCCCTTCCCTCCAAAATCAGGGGGAAAACTTTACTTGAGTATTTATGCTGATACACTGCAAGGTCTCACACACTCACTAGAACAGAAGGCAGAGCCACGCGCTTATATGCAAGTCAAAATCCTGAACAGCTTCATGAAGGATGTGAAATGAAGCCTCTGCAAAGGAAAATTCTTTAAAAACCCACATGCCCCCCACCAAGTACCTATAGGAAAGGCCAGTTGTGTAAACACTGGCTAACACCAGAGGAGAGGACTGTTAGCATTTAAAGTTTAACATGCAAACTCTGGAAATGTGGACAGTAAGTATTTTATTACTCTACCACTGTCAATTTATAGACCCCTAACTTTCTGGGAATAGTGTAGGTGCAGTTACCTGTTATTCTGATCATAATCTCCCACCTGTCTAAGAGGTATTTATTCCTTATTTAGAGGGCCTCTATTGCCATGTGCCTGGAATTATTAAATGCTCATCACTTTACGAAGGATAAAGTATTTTTCCTGCCTTAAAGTTAAATTCGTTCTTCCGCTCAATTCCTGATCTTGTCCGTTAAAGTGTTCGCAGACAAAGTTTCTGAAAGATTAGAGAAGAATCCCCCCAAGATTGCCCAACACTAACTACAAACAAACAATACTTTATTTAAATGAGGAGACCGCTTTCTAAATGCATACATTCTCTCTATTAAAATGTTTTATTTTGCATGATTTAATGTTTTCTGCACAACGTATACATCACAACACATTTAAGTTTTATCAAGATTAACATCAGATTTTTGTTAACAGCACAATAGGCTATCCTTTTGGAGGATTTAAGAGAGTCAATGCTCAACCAATTCTTAGTTTTATAAATACTGTCTTACGATTAAGGTACTACCTTTCAAGGCTTTTAAAGATTACTTGGCCTGAGTGAGGTATGCTATCCCATCATGCAAGCCACAGGTACGAGTCCTGTGTACTTTTAAAGGCTAGATAGGAAAATCCCTCACAATCCTAGAATCCCTTAGGAAAGGGATCAGGACAAACAGCCATGTTCAATACTTAAGACCTCCACAGCTTTTATTAAAAATAAGCACTTAGCCCTAACATGCAATACTGCATATTCAAGTTCAACTTATCTGTTAACAGCTGCCTGCTGTTTTCTGCTCCCAGATGAAATGAAGCAACTCTTCTGATAATGAAGAGAAACCTGTCTGAGGCAAACGAAAGATTGGCAAACAGCACAGCCTCCTCTTAATCCACTTGATCCCACTCTGAATTATTTCAGCTTCTTTTATTCCAGGATTAATGTTGGTATTATCATTTTCATTTCATTTTTTATTCTGCTTTTGTAAAAGCAGTATTTTGAGATGGACATTTGATCTTCGTCGTATTGCTCATCAATTCATTATATTATTTCTCATCAATTCTTTTTTTGGTGGGTATAGCTTGATAGGCCATAACTTTTAAAATGGTAGATTCCATTATCTTTATTTTTCTTTTTTTTCCATTAACTTTAAATTGGTAGTTTCATTTGCTTAATTTTTTTTTTTTGCATATGCAGACAACGCGTTCATCAGTAGTAAGGATCTCAGGGTTATGCTTTTTCCCCCATGGAGATATGAAATATAATCTTTTCTGCCTTTACTTATCATTCACCAAGGAGCTGTTCCCTCTCCATCTAGGCCATCATATTGCCAGGCTGGTTATGACTCAGAAGTTGTTATCTGAAAAAAGGCTACAGAAAAAAAAAGGTTTCCCCTCCCTCATCCACAAAACCCCACCCTCTTTTTATCAGAAATGATTAAAATACACAATTTACAGTAATTTTGAAGCATACCTTAACATCTTGTTTGCAGTCATACAAAGGCAAAATACTTTTCCTACACTAAAAAAAACTTGCTTATACACAACTGAAAATAGAATCTTACTTGATAATATAAAAGCTACCATCAGAAGAAATCCCTTCAGGATCATTAAGCCACTTCCTTTGCTCTGAAGCTCCTATAGTAGTATTAAGTTATATTAAATCACCTGAAAAAAATTCCAAAAGAGAACCACACACTACCATATCCAAACAACTTTAGCCATTTAAAAAAAAAATTCCCAAGGTATTATTATCTAAGTCAGCCAACGGGCTAGACCAACCCCCAGTCCTATACTTTCCTTCCCCAGGCCCTACACGCTGAATCCAGTGGATCTTCATGAACTTCCCCAGCTGCCCAATTCAAAAACTGGGGGAAAACAAAAACTAGAGGATTGGGAGTTACTTGCCAACTTGGAAGTTGAGATTTCTTTAGTTTTTCCATCCTAAGTACTTAAGTTCTCTGGCATGAGTTATCTGAAATCATAAACTAAACAATTACCTAACCCCAGCCCTCCCAAATCCCAACCATTAACACGCTAAGGCCAACTGCCAAACTTTGCCCCTCCCCTTTAATAAAAGTTAAAGGTCACATTACTTGAAAACGTAAACGTAACTTCAACATTTGGCCTAGTCAAGCTCTTCTGAGTGCTCCTGAGAAGATTGAACATGAACCAAAGCTGCACTGTGCTGTACCATTTCAGCTTCAACTGGGAATACGCTTCCAAGGAAAAAAGCAGCTCCAATCCCTGAAGGTGTTCGTGCCAACAGCGTAGCAGTACAATCCTTCTCTAACCCAGTTTGTCAATAGTACTATAGCATCTGTGGAAAATCTTAGAAAGAAAATTTTCTCCCCCACCCTCTTCCCTGGTAAGGCCACCCCAAAACAGTAAGTAAATATAATGAATTTAAAGGATTATGTATTAAGAATTTGATAAAGGGGTGGAAAAAAGAGAACTACCAGCCATTCTCCAATGGACAGCTCCGCCACAGAACTGTAAAGTGAGGGCTGCTCGTGCTCTATTTCTAGAAACTGTAAACCTGTGGTGCTCTGATTATCCTGATACTGGATTTTCTTTTTTTCTGTTACCTTGAGTCATTTGCCTTTGGGACTCTAGACAGACCTAAGGGGAAAAAAACTTAAAACATATTTTGCCCCCCATCCCAAACCCCCCCCCCCCCCGCTACACACCCAACTCCACATTCAGTATAAACTTTAATAGGGGTAAGGGAAGAAAAATAGGTCATCTATTCACAAAACTGAAAGGCTTCATTATCCCCAACTAAAAATAAGAACTTATAAAACTGGTCTCAAGGCTGTTCTAACAAATTCATTTGGTTTCCCTCCAATTGGTTAAAAACAAAAAAACTTGCCATCTACCATTCCTCCGGGCCTTGGAAGTCTGCCCTCAAAAGCTTCAGACAAGAGGAGAAAACAAGCCTGAAAGAGAGAAACCTGCAACACCCGGAAATCGGCCTACACCCCGTAAATCCCTCAGCGCTTAAGTACTCAACGCCCCCGATACCAGGAGAAAGGCAAGTAAAACGTTACCATACTGCAGTTACAAAAGCACGTTAGCCGACCTCGCGGGGTTTTCCCGCACACTCGCTCTCCCTGCGGCCTCGCACCGGGACGCTGCTCTAGGATCCTCTATCTATCCTCCTCACCGCCTGCTCGCCGCCTCGCGTGGTCGCCAAGCCCAGCCGCTCGCTGGCTTCATCACCACATCGCACGGGCTCCTGCTTCCTGGAATCCTCTCCTAGCTTCACCTCCAAATCGTTAGGGCTCCTTCCTTCTTCCTAGCTTCCTTCCTTCACCAAACCGCACTGGCTCCCGGACTTCGCTCTCCTTCCTATCTTCACCACGAACTGCTGCAGCTCGCTCCTCAGTCCTAGCTTCACGACACTGGCTCCTGGAATCCTGTCTGCGGCTCCTGTCTTCCTAGATTCACTGAATCCACTTCTGCGTAGTACCTGGGTCAGCTGCCAATTAACGCTAGTCCTCAGGATTTAAAAAAGCTTAGCTCAGAGTCCAAAGTGAAAACGTTAAGGTGGTAGTTAATTCTTGATCTTGAATTACTTGTTATGAGAAGTTCTTTAAATTCTCCAAGACACTAAAAGCTACTGTATTTAAACTCACATTTTTAACTCTCCAGAAATATTCTACCTGGGTTCTTAAGTAACTTCAGTCCTTTTAGCAGCAAAAGTTGTACAACGGATTTTCAACTTTCCCTTCTAGCTCCGGGTTAATTCTTCTAAGTTGGTCCCGGGCTACAGTAGTTTTAACACCCTCATCTTCTCAACTCTAGCTTCTGTACCACCAGAATTTAAATTCATGGGCTTTCAGGAGAAATTCCACTAAGAATTTAAAAATTAGTTTCCTCCTTAGCTTTTCTTTTCTTGTACTTTATCCAATTTTTTGGCTTAGACTTTCCTATCTTCTTTTTTGAGGTCTATCTTGTGCGCTTGTATTCAATAGTTGTCCTAGCTTGTTTTCCATTTTCTACCTGAAATACTTGCCCTGCCCGCATTTTCCACCTCGTTTCCAACTTCTGGCTTTCTCAACTTGTATATGAGACCTTAGTTGCCTTGTTTTTCTAGTTTCTCTATCTTTTCTTCTGCTTCCTGCCTTCAAGGGTTTATAGTATTTTTCTGTCTTCTAAAAGGCGTGTAATTTTTCTTCCAATTTTCCTATCTTCTCTAAATCTTTTCTTCACCTTCCTGTACTTGTCTTTAAGTCTTCACCTTCCTGTACTTCTGTCTTCTGAGTTCTCCACTTCTTTTCTAATCTCTCCAAATTTTCATCCTACCACTCCTAGTTATTTGTCAGCTTTTAGGAAGTCCTACTTTAAGATCTAGGTTGCAAATGATGCAATCATCACTGCGCCATTAATTTGAAGGGCTCTTAAATCACCTTAAAGTTGATCTTTTTAAAAGACAAAAGTCACCTACAACTTGCTTTTTTAAAAAAAGACACTTAAGCTCTATTTAGGTCATTTACATTTTAACGTCAACCTAAATGGCTGCCCTTCGATTTACGGATTTTTTGAATCCCGGACTTTGCCGTCCTTTTAAGCAATTTCTTTAAAAACTAGGTTTTCTCTACTCCATTAAGAAGTTTCACCTCCTAGCCTCCGTCTGGTTCTAGAAAAAGCTTTTTCTTTCTTAAGCTACTCTTTAAGGTCTTCATTATTTTCCCTTTAAGTTCTTTTTAAGATTACTATAATAATTTAATGCTATGCAATTCATTAAGTTTTAGCACTATTTACACTTCCTAAAGAACTGTATTCATTCCTAGGTTTCTTTTTAAAGAGAAAAACTTATCTGCGTCTCCTCAAGCAGGGCCTCCTGCCTCCCCAGCCGTCTCTGCGCTCGCTGCCTGAAAGCCTGCCGCAGAGCCCCCGGAGAGGCGTATTTATAGCCGAAAGCCGAAGCACACCGCGGCCTCAATAACCCTCCGCCGCCTTTGTGAGGGAAGCAAAAATAGTCCCTCGGACGGGTTAAAAATAGAACCAAGCTTGCCAAGACTTTCTAGATTTTTCGTGACAGTGCAGGCAACTTAATTATCGACTGTGTACCCAGAAATATCCAAAACTTACTAGCAAGTAGACTTGAGCTGAAGATTTAGGCAAAAACAAAATCACATTTAAGTAGAGCAAACTACTCCCCTGAACTCAGGGCCATTACTTGGGAATTTTTTAGTAGCTTTTTAAATACCTTTCATGTCTTCTCGGGAGTACAGTAGGTACTATTTAGTGCTTTTTGAAGGAAGGTTAAAATGGGTTTGCTGACGGCCTTCATTTCTGTTACATAACCGAGCATCAGCCTGGTAAATAGGCCGCAGCCATCTTAGGCAAAGTTGTCAGTTTGTCCCCCCAAACCGCCTCAGGTCGTGCGAGTTGGTTCTCCGGTTATACTGGACATGTTCCGGTTATCCTGAGATTGGAGAAGCACGAACGTTCGGGTTATCTGCTTAAGAATCTACTAAATGTGGAAATCCACTTCTAGAAAATGTCTCAAGGAGCCACACTGTACAGCGGTCTCCTGCATCAGAGCTGGCGAGCCAACGGGGGGGGGGGGGGCTTGCTAAGATCTGACGACGCAGCCGGGGGGACTTGTGTTAGTTACTTGACATGCTTAACGTTCCCGTCTTTGCAATTACGAAATACTAGCTAGACCCCCACGTTTTGGGTTGCTTTTTTAATATCATGCCTACTTCTTGTTCCTTCCAAACGTGAGCCGTTTCTAACCTTCCAAGCTTCCCGTTAAAGCTCTCAAAATCCAAATCTGCTGTGAAAACCAAGTTTAAGTGTCCTCTTCGATCCCCAAACGCCAAAGGTTTTGCCCCTAAAGACACAACGACCTTGGGCAGCCAGTCTGGGGACGTTTTTTTCAAATATTCGTGAAAACTCTGCTTATGGGCTTGCTTTTCTAAGTTCGTGCTTACAGGCTGGCTTGGCTCCACTCCCCAAGTTTTTTAAACTAGAGTTGCAAGGGAAACAAAAGCTCTTCTCCAAATCCAAAGCCGTTCCTTTCTGTAGTTTGAGCAGTTTTGCTTCCAAAGCACCCCCTGGAGTTTCCCAACTAAAGGGAAAGCTGACTAAGCACCGCGTGACAAGAATTCTGAGAAAAACCTCCTTTCCCGGGGCGGCAAAGGGGGAATCTGACTCCCGGGCGAAGCAGGAGAATTTGGGAACAATGGCGCCGGGGGCTTCCCGAACAGGGGTTTCCACGCGCCTAAGGCGACTGCACGGAGAACCGGGCGAGGTGGGATGGGGGAGGGGACGCGTCCATGCCGGCTCCACCCGGCCAAGCTCCGCTCCGCGTCCAGAACCCTCGGGCTGCCGGGGCCGAGAAGACTGCGGGGAGCGGCTTGTCCGGAGGCCCGAAAAGCCCGTAGGTGCAGGACGGGGACAAAGGCTGGGGGAAGGGTGCGGCACCAGAGCGTATCCCACACCCGCCCGGCGTAGGGATACGCGGGCCGTGAGCCGCCGCCTCCCTTTGTGAGGCGCCGGCTCGCGGCCGGGCACCGCTGGCTCTAACCGGATCCAGCCGGTCCTAGCCGCCTCCGGGAGGGGAGGCGGTTGGCGCAACGCGCCAGTGCGCATGCGCGCCCCGCCCCCAGACCCTGGGCCTGCGCCAGAGAGTGGCGTCGCGGGGGATGGGGCAGCTGGGTTTGGGCCCCGGGGCTACGCGGCCGCCCCTCCGCCCTTTCACCACACTCGGGCTGCTGCCCTCACCCCCGCCCTCTCTCCCATTCACAGCCCAGGTCTGCCTTCTCTTCCCCTTTCCTGTGCTTTGTCATTCCTCCATGTTGTATCAAAGTCGTCCGTGAATTGAAAGTTCGCACAGGATACCCTTGTAATTGTCAAATGCTGTTTCTTTATTGCAACGCATTTCGGGTGTTGGCATGCCACCAGGTCTTACTAGTCTAGGATGCGCGAGGTGGAAGAGGGTCTCCGAGACTGGCCTAGCAGCTGCGTCACTTTTTGGAAAAGAAACTAAAGCAGAGACAGGAGCTGCGGGACACCGTGGTTTAAAGCCTGGAACCCACGACTGGGTGCTGACACCCGTCCTCTCTCACTCCAGGGGCTTCATTGTGGAAGCTACAAAGTGGCAGGTCTCTAGGCAGTGAATTCGGAGAGGGAAAGACGGTGTTCAATGACACGACAGTGTGGCATCTGACCAGTGACATGGGAATTGTAGAAACTTGACATTCTCTGTTTTCAAAACCCCTTTGGCGTCCGGGAGCAGGTACTGACCTCCCCACCTTCGCTCGCCCGCACGACTCTGCCAAAGCTGGTGGAGTTTCATGTTCTTCCCCCACTTTGCCTTTAAGGGCGAAATATTACCGAGATGCAGATGGTTCCCTTCAGACACAGGCTTGATGTTTGCTCTGGATTGGAAATTTTTTAGTGGGATTTTAGCGCTGCAAGGAGGAAAACTGAGTTGGGTCACCTCATTTTACAAACGGGGAGCTGGGAGCCTGGGGAGTTTATGATCTGCCTAAAATCAGACACAGCTAATTAGTACCAAAATCTATTCTTGAATCCCAGAAGTTGACCTCGAGCTGCTTCCCTTCCCCCTCCCCTCCTCCTCCCCTCCGCCGCGCCCCGCCATGCCCTCGCCGGGGCGTCTGTCAGCCTCAGCCTCTACTGCGGTTTTCTCCGGGGCTGGGGAAGGACTCGGGACGTCCTGTGCCATCCGTGCTCTCTCTCCCACTCTGGAGCTCCTGAGATGAAGAGCTTCGAAGTGCTTTATGCAACTCAGTGTTGCAAATCTAGTCGTTTCCGTTCTCTTTACAGATTATAGCAGTTTCCTCATACTATTAAAATGGCTGTGTGTTATTTGGTTAATTCTCCATGGGTTTGGGGAAAGAAAGAGAGATTTGAGTGAAGGTCAGCACTCAGGAATCTGTTGTGCAGAAAGAGAGGACTTGCCAAGCAAGGCCAGAGAGAAAGTTTCTTTTACCGGTTAGTAAGTGAATGAGATTATGGATGCTAACCCCTGTTACAGGCCCAAACATTTACTGACTTCGCCTCTCCTAGCTTTTGTTTGACAAAGAGAGCTTTGCTGTCTCCAAAACATCCTCATTCCTTCCTCCTTTTTATATAGTGAGTCCCTTCTTCTCTGGAAACGTTTACTTAAACAAGTTGGCCCCAAATCACCATGTTCCTTGGTGAAGATATTAATAATACATTTGATTATGTGCCCTTTTCTCAACTCCCTGAGGATCCCTTTAACATAAAACTGTGTTTTTTCAAGGCACCTCTTCTCTGGCTGCATCCCTGTTCCTTGTAATCAGAATGTCTGATGGCCACGGCTCTCCCCACTGATGCTGCCACATCCTGCACCACCTCCATCTGAAGCCTAGCCTTCATCTGGACCCAATGACTCAAATATAAGAGAGCAACTCCATTTTAGCGAGTGGTTTCATGCCCCTTCCCCCATAAAAGTCTTGGCTAAAAATAGGTGGACTTTGGTCTGTTTGCGGCAGTCGCTCCACGGACAAACACCCGTGTGACCTCGGGCACTAACCCAAATCACTTCTCACTGGCAGTGTCCTTCTGTGTAAAACGAGGAGATTAGATGAAAGGAGTGATGATGCTAATTCCATAAAAGGCAGTAAACAAAGGTGGGAAGGGAGCCGGAAAAACTGGAGGCCTCCTGGCGGGGCAATAAAAGGACAAAAGCAGCAACAATTTAGGGTCAGGCCTCTGGGCCTGTTGCTCCAGGCAAACGTCAGGCCGCAAACCTCCAGAGAATGCCAGAAGCCACTCCGCTTCCTCCCCTTTTAAGCAAGGCCAGTCAGGTTTACTCAAGAGGAGCCATCGGTGGGGGCGCCTGGGTGGCTCAGTTGGTTAAGCGACTGCCTTCGGCTCAGGTCATGATCCTGGAGTCCCTGGATTGAGTCCCGCATCGGGCTCCCTGCTCGGCAGGGAGTCTGCTTCTCCCTCTGACCCTCCCCCCTCTCATGTACTTGCTCTCTCTCATTCTCTCTCTCTCAAATAAATAAATAAAATCTTTAAAAAAAAAAAAAAAAAAGAGGAGCCATCGGTGGCCTTCATTTCTGGGTCTGGAGTCCAGAGTTCAGTCTGGGTGAGACTCCAGCTACACCTCTTTTGTTTGATTTTATCTAATTCTGTGATTTTTATCCAATACTGCATTACCCAAGACTGTTCTGGAAATGCAGATCAAAAAGAAAAGGCAAGGGAGTCCAAAAAAAACAGCTTTTTCTTTTCTAAGGACTCTAGGAATTTGCAGTTCCCAGCCCCCTCCGGTTGCCTGCCCACCTCCCCAGAGCTGATCCCTGGAACAGTAATGGTGCAAACGTTTGGCTCCCTGTCTCGGAGGGGCCAGCTCCAGCAGCCGGGAAATCCCACAGAGGTGACACAGCTCAGAGCTCCATCACAGGGAAGAGAGATCATTGTTTTCTAGGGGATTTTGAACAGCTAAAAACGTATGGTGGAGAAGGTCTGACATCAACCCCTGACACCCACCAGACACACTATTATAACCTTGCAGAGAGCTGAGGGCAATTCCAGCAAAAACAAGTAAGCAAAACTACAGGCAGCCGTATCATTGGCCTTCCCCAGAAGGCTGTCAGAAGAGGAAGCCTAGGGCTTCTCCCTCTCAGGCCCTGAACATGCCAAGGCAGAAAAGTAAGGGAAACGTTCTCCTGCTGTCTTCCTGAGAGAAGCATCCATCTTCCCACTGTACCCTCCTCGAAGATGTAGAAGATTCTGTGTGAGATAGAATGCTCTTTCTGGGGGGAACAAAGGAGAAGGTATCCTGGAAGAACCGTTCCCCGACCCCCAGCCCGTGAGCTCCCTGCTGCTAGTTCCCTTCTTTAGTTTAGTCACCACATAATGTCCTTGGCACTGGGCCCTGCAGTCTGTTTGTGGATCTTTCTGGAAGGCCTGGCAATGGAGGCCCAGCTGTAGCACCACGGGCTGTTGGAGGACAGTATGAAAAGAAAGGGCAGAACATGGCTTTCTAGGGGAGCTGCTTCGGCTTCATCTCCCCAGCTTAAGAGCTCTGCGAGGCCCCTCACAGGCTTCACCCCAGCTTTTCTAGACCTTCTTTCCCCACACTGTCCTCCTCCCTCTGGCCACTCCTTTTGGCCCAGTTAGTCTTTTTTTTTTTTTTTTTTTTTGTCCCAGTTAGTCTTGAGTGGAGACTTTCTACGGACCTCCTCTCCCCAGCCAAGAACAGTCTGCTGTGCTTTCCTGGGCCCCTCTGTTGTCCCCGATGTGTCTGCAGGATGGTAAATACAGCACACAGCTTGATGTTCTGTGACTTTTCTTGAGCACAGTGCTGCGCACTTTCCGTGCATGATCTCCTTTCAGTTCTCACCCCGGTTCCCTGTGAGGGAGATGTTGCTGTTATCCCTGAGACCGATGAGCAAACTGAGGCCTAGGATGTCTCTCTCGCCATCACTAGGGCCTGGCACACAATAGAAGTTCTGTGTGTGTCTGTTGAGTAACAACTAAATGATTACATTGCAAAAGCACCTCTTTGGGAGTTAAAACCCCAAGCAGAATAGGGAAGGAGCATGTGTGGCCCAGGCTCAGCAAGGGCAGTGTGACTGACTGACTCATCACTGAGCACGGGAGGGGCTGTGAAAGACAAAGGCGTCCCCGACCTGGAACGTCCTGACCAGAGTCACTTGTGAAGAATAAGCTCCGTCATCCTGTGAGGTTTTCAGTAGTTTGTTGTGCTGCTTGAGTCCCGAAGGGAAGGGTGTTAGGAAGGAAGCAGGAAGTGATTAGACAACTTGACGTGCTGTGATAGGGACAAAAGGCATCTGCTTTTGACAGAGATGAGACTGCCCATTGGGATGCAGTGCAATTGTGGGGAGCAGTAAGAAACCGGGTCCCACTTCCCTCTCCGGAGAACTTCCAGACAGACTGAGCCATGAAGAAACCCGAAGGCCACCTTCAGTGTCTCTCTCCCCGGAGCTCCAGCTGAACACTCAGCCTCCAGAGCGAGGGGAGCAGCGGCTGAAGGCTCGGGCCTCATTGTCATTCCCCTGTGTGACCCGCCACGGGAGGCCCCAGTCAAGC